AAAAAATGGGAAAAAACGGGGAAAAATGGGGGAAAACGGGGAAAAACGGGAAAAATGGGGAAACGGGGAAAATGGGAAAAATGGGGAAAAATGGGAAAAAACGGGAAAAAATAATGGGGAAAATGGGAAAAATGGGAAAATAATGGGGGAAAACGGGAAAAAACGGGGAAAAATGGGGAAAAACGGGAAAAATGGGGGGAAACTGGGGGAAACTGGGGAAAAACGGGGGAAAATGGGAAAAACGGGGGGGAAAATGGGAAAAACGGGGGGGAATGGGAGAAACGGAAAAATTGGGGGAAAAAGGGGGAAATGGGGGGAAAAATGGGGAAAAACAGGGGGATAATGGGGGGAAATGGGGAAAAACGGAGGAAAAATAGGGGAAAATGGGGGGAAATGGGGAAAAAATGAACAAAAATGGGGAAAAAATGGGGAAAAAACAGGACAAAAATGGAAAAAAATGGGAACAATGGGGAAAAAATGGGGAAAAACAGGAAAAAATGGGGGAAAAGCGAGGAAAAACACAAAAAAAATGGGAAAAAGGAGGGTGGGTGAGGGATGCTGATGGATGCGGGGTGGAATTCCCAGGGATTCAGCAGGAGGGGTTGGAATTACCGGGTTTGATGGAAGGGAAGGAGAGCCGGGGATCCTCCGGGGGGTGAGCGCGGCGTTTCTTGCGCCAGCGCCGCGCTGGGTACGAGTAGAGCTGCCCGGCCGCCAAACCTGCGGAGAAATCCCGGGAAAATGCCCAAAATCGATCCAGGGCAGGGACAAAACTCCGGGAATTATCCCAGGCTGTGAGGAAACGCTCCCAGCTTCCCCGAGGAACAATTCCCGCCGCTTTCCCGGTGATTCTCCCAGGGTTTTCCCAGTGTTTTCCATCGTTCTCCCATCCCATCGTTTTCCCAGGGTTTCCTCGCTCTTTCCCTGCTTTTTCCTCTTGTTCTCCCAGTGTATCCCATCATTTCCCTGTTGTTTCCCCGCTGTTCTCCGGCTGTTTCCCATCATTCTCCCGGTGTTTTCCCATCCTTCTCCCATTCCCATCATTCCCAGCTTCCCATTGTTTCCTGTCATTCTCACATTCCCATCCTTCTCCCATTGTTTCCCATCATTTCCCGCCCTTCCCCTCCATCTCCCGGTGTTTTCCCGGTGTTTTCCTGGTGTTTCTCAGTGTTTCCCCAGTGTTTCCCGGTATTTCCCAGTGTTCCCCGATGTTCCCTGGTGTTCCCCAGTGTTTCCCGGTGTTCCCCAGTGTTCCCCGGTGTTCCCCAGTGTTCCCCCGTGGTCCCCCGTGTTCACTCCCTGT